AATGCTGCAGCAGTTGGCCTCCATATGCACTGCCTCAGTCTTCTGCCACCCGCTGTCTGCTGGCATAGCTGTCAGGACCTAAAGAATATCTCCTGCCTTTGATTTGCTCCTGTCAGGCAGTTCATGTTTGTTTTAAAATGGAAAGACCCACCCAGGCATCAAAAATTATGTGTCCTCTTTTTCAGAAGCCCTCACAGATGACCTTGTTGATTTCCCATCACAACGTATTGCAGCACTTCTGACTGATGACTTCCAAGCTGCCTGCTGGAAAGACTGAAAAGCTCTGCACAATGTCTTGCACAAACTGACTACAAGAAAAAAATCCACAAATTTCTTAGAGCTTCTGCATCCTATAAAATGTGGACCCTTGAGTTCACTTAAACAATGATGCTTACTCAGGGCTGCCTACTCCTTTTTTATCTTCATGCTCTAATAGCTGCTGTCCTTGTGATTAAGAAACCTGACAAGCTCATCTTAGTCCAAGCCCTCACTGTCCAGGTGCCTCATGCTGTACTGGACATCCCAGTCCTGACATGTGTCTGCCCACCACGCTTGGCCCACCAGATTGTGCCTAAAATCTGACTCCCCCTGATGGATGCTGAGGAGACCCTGCTTATGAATGCAAGTGGCTCGTTCACAACAAGTTAGAGATGCTGTAGTCACCTTGGATGAAGTTATTTTGGCCAAAACTCTCCTACTACTGCTTCCTGCTGCTGTTTGGAAACCTGCTACCAAAATATTACATGAAACTCCATTAGAATGTACAATCTTATGTCTTATTGTATCATCTAAAATAAATTTCACAAAGTGAATGAAACATAATGAAGAAATTTTCAGATAAAACAGAAAATAAAATGAAATAGAGTTTAAACTGTTTACTTCGTTATGCACAGCTGGGCCTCTGCTTTGTACATAAGACACACAGACGCTTTGCTTTTCCTCTTCTCACAGGCATTTTCACATCTTGAAAACATGGTTCTGTTTGCATGCCTGCCTCCCAATCCTCCTTACCTTTCTGGACCACGGAAATCTAATTGAAATATTCTCATCCCTCATTTCAGTGCTTTATTTTTGCATACTCTGTACTAAATTATCTGACTGCAAATCCATTCTTTGCTGTGGCCTGTGTCACATCCTCTTATTCTTGCTGGTAAGTATTCAATTAATGCATAGGAATGAATAATATTGAAATGTTCTTACTGATATTTTTAGTTATCAAAATCGTTTAAATACATTAAAATACATATCAAAACCTTCATTCTTTGAAAACTAGTTTTATAACACCTTTGTTGTGTTTTTCATGTGCTGTTAGCTTTATGAGCAAATTCATAAGCAATAATGTTTGTGTTACAGTGTCTGCAGTGGTGGGAAACCTGACAGCAAATCGTGAAAGACTCCTTCCATCACACACTTGCATTTCACAATGAGCAACTGAAACGGCTAATATTCGGAACTGTAATTACAGGATTATTAGCCAGACGTAAAGTAAACTTTGATTAAAAGAAGCTTGGACTATGTATTCCTCTAATGATTCTCCCACCTATAATATACAGGGGCTACAACTGTGTCAGTTCTTGCCAACATATCACAGGGACATAATTACATTGGCTTGTAGCTGTTATAGTGCATGTGAATAGATCTGTTTGTGAGTCTAATTTGCAGTTCCTTTATGCTTAATAATATTGAGCATATTTTTATGTCCGTATTTCCTTTATGACTGATAATACTGAACATATTTTATGCACAATTTCTGTACATGGTCCTAATTAGGCTGGTTTATATGAGTTTTTTTTTCTGTAGTTTTGAAGGAGTATGTTATATTTGAAGAAAAAATTCTTCAATGGTTATAAAACTTGCAAATATTTTTAATCTATTATTTTCATAGTTTATTAGGTATGTATTTTAAACAAATACATTTTATATGGATGATTTGAATTTATTTTTAAAATGATTATTGCTTACTAGATACCACAAAATTAAAATCATATTTTTTATTATAAAATATTTGTATTACTTTTACATTTATTTATATTTTAAATTATTTGCAATGTGCAGAATTAGAAAGGTATCCTTTCATTTTTCTGGTAAAAATGTTTGTTAATTTCAGTTATTTAAAAGATTACCTTAAGTAACTTAAATTGGGAAGATGGCATCAATTAAATAATACATAAAAATGCAAAGAAACATTTTGATATAGAACTAATTTTGCACTATTTTAAAACTTTCTATTGATATATTAGTTTTATACCAGTACCAACATTCTACTGATCATATTACCTTTACAGAAAAACTAGATAACAGTTTTTAAAAATGTCTTTCAATTTTGTCTATCTTGCATCTTTGACACTGATATTATAATAAATATTTAGAAACTATCTGGGTAGTTTATTAAAATTTCATATATTTTTAATGAAACTGAATTAATTCATGTCTATTTAAAATAAAGTGCTGCACATGATACTTTTGAATACAGAAAATATCCATATTAAAAATTAGATACACATTGTATTGTATACTAGTGCCTTTATCCATAGGAATATATTGCAATGTCCCTTATGTATGTGTGAAACTATGGAAAATCCTAGAACCTGTATACAGTGTTGTATTCTGTGTGCAGATCTGTAGCAAAGTTTAAGCTATAAGCACATTGAGAAATTAACATTTTCTCACTTACTATGGATTTTAGCAATCTCAATGTAAGGTTACTTTGCTTTCTCTAAGGAAAGAACTTATTGAGTCAAAAACTTTCACCTTTTTCCTTAAAGAAAACACTATGTCTTCTTTCAGGCATACCCAAATTGCCAACATAACTAATACTGTGTTTTGCACTTTTGCTGAGTTAACATAAAAGTCACTGGACCGCAAGAATGCAGTGCCATGATCATCTGAAAACCAAGATTTCTACTGTTACTGATTTAGCTTGTACAATGTGGAAATGATTGAGAAAGCAACAGTTAATGTTCGAAGCAGGATAGAGAGGAATGGAAATAGATTTCATTGTAGTACTGTAAAGGGTGTAAAATTTAACCCTTACAAATGGTTTATTTTTGTATAATTCCACAAATTACAGACACAAAGCCTGTAGCTAACTGAAAGTGTGGAAAGCAAAACCACAAATAAGAGGTGCTACAGTTTTTATCTTCAGTGCTTAAGTGTTGAAGGCTTGGTCTCAAGTTTGAGACCATACTTACAAGCGAAATGAATCAACCTGTCATGTATAAATACCATACAGTCTTCTTAGTGTAAGAAATGATAAGAATATATCAAAGTGTATGGTAATCATTATTCCCCATTATATTGCTTTGAAGCCTTATAATGTTTTCATTCATGATGGAATGGTTTTATTCTGGTTGTTTCATTTTGTCTGTGATGGTATGAACAGCTATTTTGATGAAAAGACATTATCATAGCTAGTGCTGATTTAATATCATTCTACCATGCTTTTGTTCTTCTGTCTCCATTGGTTTTATCACGTTATATTTCATTGGATTTTGTTAGGTGTGATAGTATAAACAAAAATTTTATGGACATGGAGATAATATAGTAATCCTTGTTTGTTTTCTGTTAGTTGGTTCTGAATACCCTGTAATACTTTCAGTCTCTTGAATGATTTTATACTATTTTGTTAGGTATGATACTGTAGTGTATGAAAGTATATTCAAATATTTCAATAAAAGAAACACTATAGTAGCTACTGTTATGTCGAGTTGTCTTGCGGTGAAACTGTGTTGATTAAATTGTTCTGTTCTGACCTGTTTTGCTATGTTCTCTTTTGTCTTAATCTTTTTAAAATTAAAAAAAGTGTGTTGAAGACTTGGTAGAAGAGAGTGAAACCTCTGATAGGTGGAACTTGGTTGGAGGTACTTAGGTCATTAGAACCAAAGCTCTGCAGAGGATCATGAAATTCAGTGTATTCCCTTCCCTCTACTCTTTCCTAGCCATGAGGTTAGAAGTTTTGCTTCACTGCACATACTGTGTCACTGCAAGTCAACAGTCCCAGAGACTGGAATCTCTCAAATTTAACCAGCACAAAGCTTTTCTTTTGTAATTATGTTTTTTTTTTTTTTTGTAATAATGGAAGGTTTAGTCACACAAAGAGAACTACTGCACATTCTAAAGGACTTGTTGTATTTTTATTATTAAACTCACAACAAACTGCATTTCGGTTATTCTAAGTGATACTTAAATTAACTATAATTTTCCAATTTATTTTCTAAACATTTGAAGATAATTTTGATGAAGTATATTGATCTTATACTTGAAAATTGCTGAATTCACTTATTAATTTCATTACTGTAGGCAATATTATTCAGAAATTTCTGCATACAAATAAGTAGGAAATTCATGTGTAATGACTAAAATCTTGGTGTTTTCTTTCTGCCTTATTGTATAAGCAAAGTAATACTGATAATGAGTGTAATTGCAAACAGCAAACACAAAAGCAATCATTTAATCATTCTTCATTAAAATTCTATTAGTATTGAATTAGTTTTTAACTCTAGAAACCTACAAAAATTGGACTGTGAGTTTAGAGTATAAGTTGAGAATGGTGAAAAGTGGTACTATCAAATAAAATATACCGTGGCACCAGATTTGACATACTGGTTATCTTAAAGTTAACTTTGAAGATTATATAAACTGTGTGCAACTATTGCCAAGAAATGCATTTTTGTTACATACCATTGTGCAAATGTCTGAAAATTCTTTCTGTGAGCTTATAACACAAACTTTTAGCAAATGCATCTTTTCCTTTCTTATCAACAAGTTTTTCATGCATGAAAAGATGGAGTTTATTTTTTGGTTTATATTTAGCTTAGTTATTCTTGCTGATATATTTTTTATTATGGTTGATTAATGTTTATGTATTTGCTGTTTTGCTTTCTAACTTGAAACATCAAGTCCATTCATTTTAAGATAAATAACTGTAAAATACATTCAGATATGAAATGTAACTAAGTTAATGCATATGTCTAATATATAAAGGATATTGGAGCATATAATTTATTTATTAGAAGAATTAATTTTATTTTTTAAAATTTTATTTAAGGAGAAAAAAGACAAAAAACAGAAAAGAGTTACAAGTTATACAGAATTTCAGAAAAAATAAACAGTAGAAAATCACTAATTAATTACATATTGTCATCTTAGAAATAGTTGTTGAAGTTACAAAATTAAAGCATATAGAGGGAACTTTCAAACAGTGAGACTGCAAACAGTTTTGTTCAATGATCCAACAACACTCAGTAATATGGTTATCTATCTTATACACTTAAATATCTATGCAGTTATGTCTTTTAGAGAATTTTCTTTTCCTTTCTTTGTACAATGACAATTACACATTTTGGGTTTTATTACTCCCATAGTTCTTATTAATTTTTTTTGAAGAAAGTAAAACCAAACGTGACATACCAGGACAGAGTCTGTCAAATCAAAAGGATGGGCATAATACATAATGTAAAAACAACATACAAGGTATCAACAATGGTTACCATAATGCCTTTTGTTATCTTAAAAAGAATTGCCTATATCATCAGTCATAATAAAACTGAACAAAACAGTAAAGAATAAGACCAATAAAACCAAAACATTGGAGACATTAGAGGACTTCAAAAGAAGATAATCATCAACCAGAATGGGCATCACAATGAATCTTATTATCTTCATAGTTGTTGCCTATACTTTCAAACTTGGTCAAGCATAACAGAATAGAGGAAAATCAGTCAAAACAAGATGGTGAGAGCAATACAGAGTTTCAAATCAAGTTAATAGGAAATCAAAGTGGGTTACTATAATATATCCTGCTATATTTTTATTTTTCCCTTAATTAAAAGGATAAAAATGAAAAAGTAGATAATAAAAAAGAGATTGAGATAAAAAAGAGGGCATAGCAACAAAACATCACAGGTCAAAACATAGCCATTTAAGCAAAATAGTGTTTCACCACAAGATAATCTCGACATAATAGTAGCTACCATAGTGTCTCTTCCCTTAAAATCTTTGGGTATAACTTCATATATTGTAGCATCAAACATATCAAGACAATATAAAACTGTTCAAGAGAATGACAGTATTACAGGGTATTCAGAATCAACTAACAGAAAATGAACAATGGTTTCTGTATAATCTCCTTGTCTATAAAAGTTTTTGTTTATATTATCACATATAATAAAATCCAATAAGATACAACACGTTAAAACCGATGGAGACAGAAGAACAAAAGCTTGATGGGACTTCAAAACAAGAGGATATTAAATCAGCACTACCTATTGTGATGTCTTGATTTCTCCAAAATTGCTGTTCCTTCTCTGCCTCATTTCTGTTGAGCTCTTTTTCTGTCATTGTTGTCCGTTTGTCCTATTCATTTCACTTTCTGCTCCATTCATTGCTAATTTTCACATTTTGCTAGAGAATTCACTTCTTTAATAACTACATGTTAAGTGATTTATTGCACAAAACAGATAATTTTTACAGCGACTGAAATTCAATAAATTTCATTTGTTCACTTGTTCTTTAAGAAAAATAACATAACATTTCAATTATTTAGATACTTATAAACTGTGGAAACCCTGTAATATAACCTTAAGTTATCAACAAATAGCTGTATAAAATATTCTTATACTGTGTTACTTCCAGCCTAAAGGAGCATGATATTTTATATAGAGGATTAAAGACTAATCCTAGGATATGCAATTCAGGCAATAATGACATATCTTACAATGAACTAACACTACGGGAGAATTATAAATGCCAAAATTGTATGTTCACACAGAGACATATATCTCCACATGCCCACACAAAAATTTTTAATGTCACTGTAGAAACCAAAAAGCAGGGAAAATTTGGAGATGGTTTAACCATTTAAAAAGTGAAATACATACTTGTATGCTTTACTCCTGAGGTTGTTGAATTTCAAGAGAAAGATATATATATATATATATATATATATATATATATATATATATATATATATGCTAGAGATACTGTAAGATGTTGCTCAATTCTACCTGCCTAGCTGGAAGCTGATGAGTGAGATCGTTGTGAGGGGAATTCTGAAACAGGAATTCCTATAAGCTTTTGATGACACCAAGCACTCAGTGCTCAGATTAAAAAAATCAGAAATAATAAAATGACGCTCTGTTTGAAGAATCCTTTTAATAGTCAAAACAATAAACATTATAAAAAGTGTCAGATGAAAGACAGTAAAGTTATCTGAGTATTGGGCTGCCATTTGCCAATGGGTCTAAAATGAATGATCATCAGCAGTTTATCAGTGACAGGGAAATGAACACTACAGAGTTCTGTCAGGTAATTGTAAGTATCTTCAGTGCATTAACCTGGTGAGAAGAAAAAGAATATCCACTGTTCAATCAAATATAAACTCCACTCACACGTGATCACATGGTGTGATCAAACTTTCGGGTTTGCTTGTTTATGAAAGTAATTTATAAAATTTAGAAAAAGATTTTATAAATTTGAGCATATTAAATATCCTAACCCAAACTTAGTATAAAGAATAAGGCCTTTCCTGTGAATATACTGGTTCTTATTTTTCTAAGATTCATGAATATGTACATATATGTGTTATCAAAATGCTCTACAAGACAAAAATATTTAGATTACTCCTACTATCAGAAAAATAAAAATGAAACATTTTCTTTAAATAATTAAGTTTACAAAATGTTAAATAATACAACACACATCAGGTACAAAATGTATGAAAAAGAATTATACAATGTTAAAGTCTCTTAACCTTGAATAGCTAAATGTATGAATTTTAAAGAGGCTTTGTATTGTTTATGCCTAAATTATTTTCTTGCTACACCATCAACTACATTAGAAAACTAGTGCTAACAACTAATTAACATTTTATATTCATAGAAAAGTATGCATGACAATATATTTGTATCTTTTTTTTTTTTCTTGAGACAAGATCTTGCTATGCAGTTCAGGCTGCCCTTGAACTCCCAGAGATACACCCACAAAAAAATACTGAGACTCAAATTTTTTCCAGTCTCTTTGCTTGCTTATTTCTACAGTATCAAACCTCTTATTTCTACAATATCAAAGCAAATGATCATAGCAATTGGACTGTAAACTGAAATATTGATTCCAAATAAGTATTCCTTTTGTTGTTGGTTTTCTTAAGAATTTTGTCACAGTGACAGTATGGGAACACAATGATACATCACAAAATTCCTCCAAACAAAGAAATTATGTAATGATTTCAGTTGATGCAGTAAGGTATTTGACAAAATTGAACATTCATTAATAATTAAATCTCTAAAGACAATAGTTATTGAAGTAGTTTGCATGATCAGAATAAAGATTATGTATTAAAGGCTTACAGTCAATATGATGAACAGGGAAAATCTAAGAACTTTTCTTAAAGATCTTATATAAGGAAAGAAAGACCACTTCCCTGAAAATCTTTACCAAGACAATTATTTTCTTGAGGGCAAAGATTGTTTGAAACAGGGTCTTGCTATTTAGTGCAGGCTGGTCTTGAACTCATGGTGATCCTTCTGCTTCAGCCCCTCGCATGCTGGGATTCCAGATATTTATCACCATGCCTGGCTGCCAGGACAGTTAGACAGTAAAAGGTGACAAAAAGTAACCTATATTAAAATCAAAGATGATGAGTTGTTGTTACAGATAAAATGGTTATATAAGCAGTGAACACCAAAGACCCAATAAAAAAGTTATTTTTGATAAATTCCTGAAAACTCCAGAATACAAAATCATGAAATAACTAGAGACTGAAGAGTACCTAGATTATGTATTATGTTCCTAGCATGGCAATGCCCAAGAATTGTGAATTCAATACCCAGCATCACCAAACGGAGAACCAAAAATAATAATAATAATCAGTAGTCATTCTACACGGAAATAATTAACCAATAAAAAAAGAGGTAAGAGGCCAGGCACGGCCACACAACCTTACTCCCAGCACTCTGCGAGACTGGACAGGAGATGTGCAACTTGGAGCCCCACGAGGCTCACTTAGTGCTTAGCAACTTTCTTCTCAAGAAAAGGTATTTTAAAAGACCTGGGGATGGAGTTCAGTGGAGAGCTCTGGCTTCAATACTCAGAATGACAGAAAGTTTAAAAGAAGTGATTGAGAAAACATCATATTTGGCAACAAAAAGAATAAAATGCGTAGGAATGAATTAAAAAAATAAAAGAATCACTAAAATTATAAAACAATAGTGAAGGAAATTAAAGGCAAAAAATAAAGTACTCCTAATATTCACAGGTTTGAAGATTTGTAATTGTGAATAAGTCCAGAGTATGGAAAATAACCTTCAGATTTAATGGAAGTACTAGGTGCATTCTTTACATAAATAGAAAAATATATTAAAATTGATATAAAATCACTAAAAACCTAAAGTGGCAAAAGCAACCTTTGAAAAAAGAACAAATTTGTAAGAGTCAAAAGTTTTAGAGTTTAAAAATACAGTAGTCAAAATGCACAAAATAGAAAACAAAGCTCAGGGTAAATATAGAACATTAGAACAGTAGGTAAGTCAGAAATACACACACACACACACACACACACATATATGCATATAGATAGATAGATAGATAGATAGATACTGAAAATGTGTGATAGATGACTAAAAATATTTGTATCTTTTTACTCTAATTTTGATCAGAAAAATTAAGCTTCATATTTTCTTATTTTAAGTTTGCATTTGCCTTTACATAGGCAATAATTGGGACATTAACTTTTTAGTTAAGTTTTGGTTAAAGTATGTTATCAACAATAGATCTTTCTAAAACATGCATAGTTTCACAAACTCTTAATACAATTCTTGTTTATATAAATATAATCTCATCAAAAGCAAGATTGTTTATCCATTTATTTTTTTAGAATTTTGAGGAATTTTTGCATTGAATATGAGGGACTTAAAACACAGTCTGAGCGAGAGAAAGGGATCTCCCAAGTGTTGAAAGAGAAGGGTACATTCTGGTTCATGTAGTCTACATTGCAGATCTCAAAAAAGCACAGGCGGTTTTATGGCATTAACCATTATTTTAGCAACACACAAAAAATTATGTTTTGTAAAATGAGCTGGACATTAAAGAATCCTCACCTTATTTTTCTACTTTCTTCAAGTCCAAGAGCTAGAAAAAGTGACCTCGGCTAGCAGAAATAAGCATGGTTTTCTGTTAGGATTTGAAGGAGGAGAAATAGCTATCTGACATGAAGGAAATAATTTTTTTTTTTGTCTTTTTCATTTTTATCGGTACCGGGGATCGAACTCACGACTGCCTGCTAGCAAGGCAGGTGCTTATGCCGCTGAGCTAAATTCCCAGCCCATGAAGGAAACAATTTATATCTTATTTTGTATGGTGAATGTGCAGATTATATAATAGTAATATCTCATAAAAATATTCATGCATGACCTTCAAATTTGTAGTGCATATGCATCATGCATCCATTTTAAATCATTTTCAGTTTTAAAAGTTGATTCTCATTTCTAAAATGTTTCTATTATTAGTTTTATATCTGAGTTTGCATTTCTTAAAAGAAAAAAATATATGCCTTTTTAAGGAAACAAAGAATAAAAAGATTAGCATTGTATTTTCTTTTTTCCACACTTGATTTGACAGTCTACATTTATCAAGTATGCAGTAAATATCTGCAGTATTTAATATAAAGATAGACACTTCATATTCAACATATGAACTAAAATATAAGTTCTTCTGCAAAATATGTGAACATTTTCATGAATTTATTCGTTCACTAATTTTCATTTTATTTTCTTTATTTTTTGCATATCTATTAATTAAAAATCTATTAGGTTCCAGTTACATGGTAATACACATAAAATTATCTAGGTTGCCCTGAAAAAATTATTCCTAGAACAATCTGAATACAATGAAGATTTTATGAACTGTTTACTTAAAATAGCATAAATTACTTATGTTAATATAAGTTGCAATTTATAGGGTATGTAGATATATCTCAAATTGTGCTTGAATGTATGTGAAAAATTACAAATTACAAATAAGCAAATTACATTAAAATTACATAAATAGGTACAATTTGATGTATTTATGTCTGCTTGATTAAACGTGGAATATAAAATTATTTCTCAGCAATTTGTATTTCTGAAATTTTAATAGCTTGCTACTTTAGAAGCAATATATGCCTACATACAGTATATGTAACATTTGAAGATCAAATTTCACTCAGATTTGTTATTTAGTTTAGAAAGATGAGCCAACAATAGTAAATAGCTGATGAAATATACCATATATTTGAATTCTATTAATACAGGATCTTGGGCTGGAGATTTAGCTTAGCAGCATAAGCGTGTGCTTGGCAAGCCAGATGTCATGAGTTTGATCCCTGGTACAAAAAAAAAAGGATCTTATGGCCAAAGCAAGTTTATATTAATAATTTTTATTAAACACCTGCACCTCAGGTACTACAATAAATTCTAAGTAGTGTATTTCTTGAAGATGATACTGAAATTAATAAACATCAAAAATAATATCTCATTTAATCCTTCTACTAAACAGAGAAAGTGATAGGCAAACTATATATATTATAGAAGATAGAATGCTATTTTCTGAAATTATTTAATATCTGTAGTAACTTAGAAAAAGTGATAGGGAACCTATATATTTTATAGATGAAAGAATATCAGTTATCTAAGCTGAGATAATAGAACACAAATTTAAATATATGTTAACAGCAAGAAATATTCTTGTGATCTGATTTATGCTTTTAAATTATAATAGTAACTCACAATAGTATTGCAAAAATTTGGACTTCAGAAAATAGTTGAAATTCTATTTCCACAGCTGTATATAAGCCTCTAACACAAAGTGAAAAAAAAAAAACAAATAAAAAAAACCAAAAAGTCCATTTGAAGTGAGTCAGTTTAAAATAAGCAACTGACCCAACAGACATACATAACTTATACTTACAGTGCTGTTTAGATTAAATGTTCCTTGTGATTTAATTCCTGTTTGGGGAATATCAAATGCATTAATGAAGATTAGTTCATGCAGATTACAGAGAATCACTTTTCCCTCATAAAAATAATCAGTGAATTCTGAGTAGACTTCAGCTTTGTAAAAGACAGCCACACATTCTTGTTGAGCATTCATTCTTGCACTGTGAGGAGAAAGGAGAGCAGGTCATGACTAAATTTCATGCTCCTGTGACCCGCAAAATAATTCACACAGTTATCAGGGCATTCATTCAATTTCCTTATTACCTGTCATCTGTAATACATAGATATGCTAAAGATCAACCTTCTAATTTTAAGCCCAAATAAACTCCACATATTTAATGGCAAAAATATTTGTCATTATGTATATTCTGAAGTATCACTCGATCTATGTACAGTATGTCTGAGAAAACTAAGTTTTTGAAGAAAACGTTCTACAGATTCACAATTTAATTCACAAATTACATTTAAACTACATTAGACTACACTTTCTTATACTTATACTATATTTTATATTCTTATACTTTTCTTATATTTTGTTATACTTTGTGGTCTAGCATTGTAATTATTGTGCGTGCTCAAATTAACAGAAAAATGTGTGCACCCACAATGGGCCATACATAATGAGCAACAGTTACGGAAGGAGTTAAAATTTTGCCAGCACAAACACATTGCATAATAATCTACTTCTCTCTGGCTCTGCCTTAAGACACACAAAGAAAAAAAAGTAAAAGGACACTCAATCAATATGTTCTTTATAATTATTCTATTCCAATGGATGAAATACTCAGAAAAAAGGACATGGGATGTGAAGTTACCAGTGAAGGAAAGAATGTAATGAATATTTATCTGAGAGACCAACTTGGAGAGAAGTTAAGAGCATGTCTCAGGGAGCTTTCACACTCATGAATTGAAAAGCAAATGACAACAAACCGCCAGGATTTGCTTTGAGGAATTAACCTAATAGAAAAATTGAATTAAAGAGAGAGCACTTCAAAACAAGCAGCTGAACTGATGTTGTTACTGCACTTTCGAAATTTAAACTCCTGTGTGGTAAGTATTTAAAAACAGCACTTCTCTAAAATACTTAAATATATCTATGCCTGACTACATATGCACAATTTTAATTATATGTTCTCATGAGAAAGATTTGATCTTTAACTGTTACTGTAAACCCATGCAATAAAGAGTACCTAGGTACTCAAAGCACAACATGATTTCCATTCAAACTATGTTATATAGTTTAACAAGATATTTACCTTAATTTTTAATGCATCCAGATGCTAAGTTTATCCATAAAACTCAGCTAATTAATGCTGTACTTGGTCCTGAAGCTCTAACCATTGCAACCCTCCTGAACCCCTTCATCTTAGGGATTGGACTCTACTACTTTTAGAACATGACTCGTTAATTATTTTTACCCCACATAATCCTCCATAAGGCATATTTGTCAATAACTCAAGTGTTTATACATAAACATTTTATAACTTCCCAATCAATAGTTATAACCGTAGATTCCAACATGGCCAGTTAATGTACAAAGCAGAATAAGATGAGACCAGTGTTTTAACTTAAATGGCAGCATTCACTGTTATCTGGGGTAACCTTTAATGGAATGTGCTTACAGGATCCCAGTAAATCTAACCACAAATGTGTTAGTAGGGTTTGACAACTCCACAGCTTCCCTCAACCTCCAGTTATTCTGTCCTTTCATTGCAGTCCTCTCATGCATCCAAAAATATTCTTTTAAACTCACCAGCACTAACCCTTTATTCTAGCTATAAAGTGCATCCAACAGTGTCTGACTTTGTATCTTATCTATAAACATTCTCTTTTCTCCTTTCTCCTTATTTCCCCCCTCATTTCCCCTTTCTCTGTCCTTCCCTGCTTCCTCATCCCACATTAACTGTCAATAACAGTACAGCATAGTTTAGAATTGGTGCTAATAAAAGGGTGCTAATTTGAGCTAATAATATTAAATGGTTTTAATGTTTATCATTGATGGATGGTTAGATCTGTAGATGGTATAACCTGTAAGAATCTCTACAATAACAGTAGCTGGATATAGCCCAATTCAACTGAATAGAATAAAGTAGCAAATAAAAGCCTCTTGACAAATAAAGCTAAGATCACATCACTAGAAAACAGAACTTAACTAAAGAGATCTTCATACCAACAACAAATTTTCACTCTATTTGACTTCAACCATCAGCACATACGCATACCAAAAAAAAAAAAAAAAGAAACATGAAAAAATAGGACAGAAAATGATTCCAAAGACTCCCAACTCTCTTTAAAAAAGCCCAGTGGGCACTGATAGGGTGGAAGTCAAACATTAGTGGGTGAGCAGCATGAAATGATTAAAATGGACACATGGAAACTCAGCAAGCTCAAATAATATATATAACCCACAAAATGGTGGCACTAAAAAACACAGTGACCAATGTATTTTGGCAAAAACCAAAAATTAAAAGGCCTGATCAAAGCTATTTCAAACATGATTGAATAATTTACCAAAAAACTTGACTTCATGAAAAGATGCTAAACAGAAATCCTTTAGAGATAATGAATTCTACTGAATATGAGCAATGATGAAAAAGTATCAGACTTCAAGGATAGCACGGAACTAAAAGATGTTATACAAGATCAGTAGATGTTATAGCAAGATCAGTAAGTATTTATTAGAGGTTGCTAAGACTAACAAGAAAAAATGGAGTTAGAAACAAATTAGAGGATAGCACATGCAATATAAAGTATCTGTTTAAATAAATCACAGCAGAAAAAAGTAAGGAATGAACTAAACATATAAACTATATGAGGCTTACAGAAAAACAAGTAATGATTTTAAAATGATCTCCATTGCACATCATAATCAAAATCTGAGAAGCCCAAACCAATGGACAGGGTCATAAAAGTTGTCAGAGAAAAGCCAAAGATCACTTGTAATTGTATTAAATAAAGCTTTTTTTACAAAAACTTTAATACATTCCCACCAGCTTGAACCACCAATGTACACAAGGTAGCTTTCATGACTGGTAGTGAAAATGGATGTAATCAGTTTTATTGGTCTTTTTAGTAAAAAAATTAATAGTAACTTGATGGGACAGTCATGCATGTGCTGGTGATGATTCAAACCACTCAGCACTGAGACCTATGAATTATGGTCTCAGCACAAACATATTAAAGACTAGTAGAGGGTAGATTGAACTTTATCCAGCACTAGAAGTAAAAGTCTTTCAACCAAAACTAAAATGTACTGCAATGACCTTTTCAAAATGAACATAGGATAAAGGTATCCCATAACTAAAACACATCATAAGTTCATAAACACTAAATCAAAACTCAAAAAATCATGCATAATTTAGTCAGAGAAAATGAAGCCAACAATTCCCCAAATTCTGATGGAATAAATACATTAAGTAGCATATTGGTTCAAGAAAAAGGGAAAATTAAAGATGTCAACAGAAATAAGGCCATGTTGGAATGTATCAACATTTTTCAGTAATAACTCAATATAAATGTTCAACTCATAAGAAAAAGAGACAAATTTGTAGGCTGGATTGAAAACAAAGCCTAGTGATTTTCTGGATAGAAGAGGCTCATCAGTTTGAAAAAAAAATTCATATACTAAAAATTAAAAAATAGAAAAGAACACTGCATGCACCAGAACCCCAGGAAGAAAGTGGAGTATGATTTTCTCCAAGAAAATGTACTTGAAATTAAATTCATCAGAAAAGGCAAGGAATGCAATTTATATTTGTCAAGGGAACAATCCAATGAGAACAGATAATAATTATAAATATATATGTACCATATATCAGTGAGCCCAAGTACATCAAGCAAACATTAATGAACATAAAAGATTACATATGTACCAGCACAATTGTGATGGGAGACCTAAATACATCACTCTCCTAAACAGAGATATCAAGTAAACAAAAAATCAACAAAGAAATATCAAAGTTGCACTATACCACTGAACAAATGAAACTAATAGATACCTTCAAAGAGTTCTACTGAACAACAAAGCAGACATTCTTCTCCGCAGTCTAGGGAACTTTTTCAAAAACAGATGACATTCTAGTCCATTAAACCTACAAAATAAGTGCAAAAGAATAAAATCATGCTACACACACAATTAGATCACAGCACAATGAAACTATAAATCAATTATAAAAGAAGCCTCAAAAACCACACAAATACAAGGATATTAAATAATATACTCCCGAACAGTCAATTACAGAAGAAATAAAGGAATAAATCAAACATTGGAGAATCTAGGAGACACAGTGAAAACAGAGTTAAAAGTGAAGTTTATTGTTGTAAACACCTAGATTAGAAAACCAGAGAAAGTTAAAAAAAACCAAAACTATATATTCACAATTCTGTCAAAGAAAAACCAATCCAAACTCAAATTACTGCATGAATGCACTCACAAGGATCAGTGTGAAACTCGATTTTAAGAAAACAATAAAAGAATTAATGAATTAAGGGGCTGATTCTTCAAAAAAAACAGACCTAATTTTAGTCAACCTTAAAGCAAAAAATGAAAAACTCATATTAATGCAATTAAAAATTAAAAAGTCAAAATAACACCAGATACTAGCAAAATCCAGCTGACTAGCAACTAGAGTGAAAACTGTGACTCCAGAAACTTGGAAAGTCTTGAAGAAATGGTCAGATGCCTAGATGCATATAAAGTACCAAAACTGAACCAAAAAGACATAAAAACCCGAATAGTGCCTAAAGAGACAATGAAATATATAATCAGTGATATTCTTTCCTTAACACTTTTCAAAAAAAAAGAATAAAATTAATTAGTTGCATGAAACTGAAGAAAATTCATTATATTTTGAGGTGGGAAACAAAAATCTTCTATACATAAGAAGAGGTAGAAACATTTTTTTTGGCATAAATATGTAGCTTAAAATCACAAAGAATACTGAAAATTAGATACTGTATAAGCAGAGAAACATTCTCCTATAAAGCTAAGTCTCCATCCAGTTATGAAGAGCAGCAGTGCTTTCCTGCATTCATCAGCATAGAGTAGTAAGCTTCTAGTAACAAGTAAAATTGGAAAAGCAACGTAAACCAAAGAAAAGAATGAGTGTAGGGAAAAAATAGAAATATTCTTTCAAGCTATCTCTATCCTCAACATGGAGTAATTTTAGAATAATTTCATGATCACTATGAAATAAATGTCAACTGAGTAACATCAAACTTCAAAACCAAATTAGCTATTAATATTAACTGAAATGCCAAATAATGATGTAACAGGGGAAAATGTGTCAATTTTAAAAACATAAGCTGATTTATATCAGTCTCTGCCATTCCATCTATGATGTTGCCATTTCAACAAAAAACTGAAAGGCATTAATAAGGACAGAGTAAAAATAACACACTCCCAAGAAAGATAACCACAAAAATATGCGAAAAAACATGTTGGAGACACTAATGGGAAAGACATAAACATGAAAGCAAGAGAAACAGCAACAGAAGAGTTAGAATAGTTACAAAATTCTAATGGATATGACAGGACCAAAAACAGTAATGCATAATGAAGAATGTACTTGACAGGTTCATTAGTAGACTGAACTCCGCCAAAGCAAGAATCAGGCAGTCAATTTGAAGTTATTTAATATTGAAATTTGAATAATTTGAAATATAAACCAAATACTTGAATAAATCATCTGAGAGCCATGAGACAGCATTACAGTATGTAGCATATTTCCACCTAAAAACCAAAAGGACAGAAAAAATAAAACAATAAAATAAAGATTTGAAGACACAATAATTCTTCAAAACTAATTTCAAGTGTAAGGTATCAAGAGTTAGCTAATAAATTCAGTGAACATCTATTAAATAACAGAAAGGGAAGGAAGAAAGAAAAGGAAGAAACAAAGAAAGAAAAGCAAAAGTAGAAGCTAGAAGAAATATATATATATATATATATATATATATATATATATATATTCCAATGTCCACAATTCTATATCTACCAAAATATGCTTTTCAAATACTAAAAATAGACATTTCTTTAGATAAATAAGAATTGGCAGATTTCTTTGCACCTGATTTATTCTACAGTAACTATTTAAAAAAGTTCTTCAGGCAATAATAGTATCAGAGAAGAAGCTGGATTGACTCCTGTTTTGCTCTTTTTTCTCATCTAAAATACTGTGAAAGATGCATTGGTGTCAAAATAAAAATTGGTAGTAAAACAGCTTTTCATTAAAAATAAAATCTATGATAAAATATATTCCCAAATTGGAGGAGAATGAATGCAAAATATAAAATTGTAATGCATTATGTACTACATATGAAGTGTTATGATATATAAAGTGTTAAATAAAATGAAAGATAAACTGATCACTTGATGGAGCATTTAGTAATAATAACTAAATTATAAAAATTAGTAAGAAATGTTGAATGTTCAAAAGTAGATCATCTTAAGGTATTAAATGTAAAGGTGAATACTGACTAAAGCACAGCGTGATACAAGAAAGTAAACAGATATCTAAAAATTCAAAACTATAGACAAAATATACTAAATTCTTGAAAGTGCAACCTCTTAATATTCACTAAGGAATATTTCCTGAGTAGCATTATATCTAATTAAATAATGAAATAAGTGCTTAAAACTTTCCAATAACACCAACTATAAAAATTTCTTTGTCCAGACATTTAGCATGGTGAATTCTAATAAATAATAAGGACAGAAATTATATCAAACTTCCAAAATTTTAGACATTTTACCACTGATGTAGTGATGCAACACCATCTTCATGTCATAACTCAGGAAAAATCCTGCAAGGATGACAAAAAGAATAGAGAACACTATCCCTTCTAATCACAAATAAAAAACTACTTTTAAAAGTCAAACAAATTTCAGTAATACATAAAATAGGCAACACTTTATAATTTATACTGTAATACTAGCACTATAACTGCTTTCCAAAAATATGGTGAGTTTAATTTAAAAAATTGCAATAGAAAGTGTCATTTTGTCACCTCAAAATATCACCCTTCACTTTGGACACATTCATTGCATTGTTCTTGCCACTCACTGAAAGAGGACTCGGAAAGCCCTTTCGTGGGTGTCTTTGGTTACTGCCTTGAAGGCTGCCTTGATTTTCCAAACAAATTTGAAACATTTATTGTCATGTTCACTAACACTTTTTTTGGGGGAAAAAGTTAGAATTCAAGATGCCAAATTTGGTGAATATCTTAGTTACTCATCTCATTGCTGATGCAAAACACCCAACATCCAAATGTAAAGAAGAAAAAATTTATTTAGCTGATGGTTTGTAGAGGTTTCAGTACATAATCAGCTGGTTCCAAGGAAGGCTGGCATGGCACAGGGACATTTCAGAGGAGAAACGGTTCATGGCAGAGAGCAGGTAGCAAAGGAACAAGGGAACCACAGCTCTCTCTGCCCCTTATATCTTATTCCTAAGGGCAAGTAACACCCACACCCTTAAATTCTAGTGCCCCTAATCCTAGTATTGCACCATTAATCAAGCAGCATCACTCTAGGTCCAGCTACCCCTGAAAAAGCCCCATCTATACCACATGGACTTTAGGGGTACAATTATAGGCAGTGAAAAAGGTGATAGAGAAAATAAGGTTATATTTTTTTGAGCTTTGTAATTTTTATTAGTATATGTTTGCGATACAGAGTAATTACATCTATTGTAGGGAATTGGTACACATATATATTATAATTACATCTATTGTGGGGAAGGAATTGGTATAAACACATACTATATCTTGATCCTTTTTACTTCCATCTCTCCTTTACTCCCTAATGTGTCTGTGAGCTTGACTTTGCTTTAGGAGACACTCAACAGCAGCATTCACCATATTTTAGTCACATATCAAAACAGCACTTAAAGAAGACTTGAGAACTGTTTCAGGAAATAGCATTTTATTTCTTTGCTAAAGCTTTTCTTTTTTTCATTTTTCTTCAATTATATTAATTGTACTTAGTTTTTGGTTGAAATGTTTTTAACACCAATGATTCAAAACATAAGTTAAAAAATTCTGGCATCTCTTGCATTTCAGCACTGGCATCTCATCTGTCCTTTTTAGTTTACATTAGTATCTTGATTCGTATTTACATCTTCAACTTTAACCGGTATTTTTTGATTCTTTTCTTGGAGGCACAAGGTGACTGCCTGATTCCTCCTATGTGGCCTCTGAGGTAGCTCAACCTGTGAGGTAGCATCTCACTACTGATGGCCAGGTGTAGAAGCTACAGCTAAGAGTGTAGTTGAATGGCCTAGTTTTGGCCACTTGGTACCAAGTAAATTTGAAAGCACTCCTTAGCCTCCTCATCATGGGGAAGGTGCTTATTTCTGATGCACGATAGTAGCTATGCACGGGGCTCTTACGGTGTCAGATGACACAGGTGATTAAAGTACTGGCTCCCTACTGGGCCTTTCCTGACAATATTTATATCATGATTAGGTAGAATCTCATGAAGGACAGGGGGGTGGATATTTTGTCTTAGCATTTAGTCTTTTCTGGTGTGTGCAGAGTCAACACCACTGTATTTTCTATGGTATTTTCCTGAAGTATCATCATCACAAATTAAATGTTTTCTTTATTTCTATGCTGCCTCTGTAACTGTTACATGGCTGTATGGAAGAAGCCTTTATTGAATCTTTTAAAATACCTTTGTGCAATTTTTGGATAAAGTTAATATGGAGAAAATTCAGGGTTTGAATAAAATGGTTCCCAAGTAGTTATATATTTTTGCTTAACAATATGAAAAAATTACACACATTAGTTTTAAATATAAAAATTGTATACAAAAACCTAGGATAATAAATTTGTAAAATAAGTTAGGCAACAAGTTTAGCAAAACACCACCAAAGATACATCTATAAAAGATAATACTGTGGAGTCCTTGCCAACTTAAAAGTAGCTCTCCAGCAGCATTATTAAAAGGAGGAAAACAATAAGTTATTGATCAAGAAAAATATACTTGAAATAATTTATGTATCAAGTAACAAGACCCAGAATATGAGTTATAAAAGAATCTTTATAACAACATAGTTCTAAAAACAAAATATAATCCAAAACCAACAGCAATGATCAAGTGATATTAATAAAATCTTTATAAAAAAACCTGGCAAATAAACCTTGAAACTGTGCGCTAAATAATTAGCCCTTAGGAATATAGAAATTAAAATCAATGTCACACCAAAAATAAATAAATAAAACTAATATAATGAACAAATACTTCATACATTCTTTTCGAGGAAAAAGTAACATGAGGAGTTTCATTTCAGTACATGCCAACTAAGATGTAATTTTAATCTGCATACACTATTGCTAGGGATTATACATGATAGAACACAGTTTCTTAAATATTATATATATTCTTACATATATTCGAACAAAACCAGTTCTAAGCAGTTACTCAAGAAAAATAATCATTATTTGTTATTTGTCTAAAATCCATACATGAATATTAATAGTGTCTTCATTTATAATAAGCCAAGCATAAAAACATCTCAAATACCCTTCAATATGTGAACAGATGAATAAGACATTGAATATGTATTCAATGGAATAACCATCAGTGATAGAACAAAATGAACAAATACATACACAACACATGGATAAATACCAGGTATTTTTCTGGGTAAATGGAACTGCTTCTATTTCTATAATACTTATCAAAAGATTAAAAATAGAGGTGGAGTACAGATCACTGAAAGTTTTGAGTTTCTTTGACAAAAATGGAGCAGCATAGGAAATTACAGGTGATGTCTTGTTCAGTGTGTACTTTTGTAACAGAATCATATAGAATGGCTAATTTATAAACCATAGAAATTTAGTTTTCATGGCAGTAGAAACTCAGAATATCAAACAGCTGACAGATATGACTTGAGCAAGCGCTTGGTTTCTGCTTCTAAGACAGCACCTTGAATTCTGCACCCTCAGAGAAGAGAAATGTTCTAATTGCAGAAAAGTGGGAACCACAAGATAGTGCATCACAAAGTTTTCTCAGTAAGGCGTTTAACCCAGAAGAGTAAATCCTTCCTGATCCAACCACTTCATAAATACCCCACCAGCCCAGACTATTATTCTGCCAGTTAAATTTCCGAGGTAACAAAACTTCAAATTATAGTGAAAAAGCAGTGATAGAAATATTCCTTGTATTACACTATTCCATTATTTAGCAAAACTGTACTTGTCAATACTTACAGAAGCACAGAACAAACAATGAACTGCACTGAATAAAAAGGTTATAGATATATAAGTAACATAATACAAAGAAACCAAAAATGGCATTTTTCTCTAGCACAAGATGACACCAGATACATATGATTTGATAATAATATTGAGTTGGATGATTTATGCTTTAGAAGAAAAACAGTTTCATGCATATAAGTACAAAGGTTAATGGAAATTAGATGTAAACAAAACCTATTATAATAACCATTCTGGAACTAATAATTTAAGATGTATATATCAAGCAAGACACACTTATAAGAAGCTTAAAATACATGTGCATTTATGAAGCTCAAATTTCAGAAACACTTAGATTTGACCTTATGTTCTTTAACGTAGGCATTAACATGATGTTTTGAAAATGTGAATTAGTTTTGACAGTCTTTTGTTTAAATATTCACAGTGGCCCTTTACATTCTCTAATATAAGGACAAAAGTCTTTACTTTCAAGGTTCCACATAACTTGGATTCTTAATTTTAATGTTTTTATCTTTTATTTTTTCCAATCCAACTACTTTCTTGTTTGTTGAGTTTTGGAAACACTAGAGTTGTCTATTACCAGTAAATAAATAATTTTACTAGTGTATATTTCTACCTTAAATTCTTATTAAATGCTGCCTTTCTAAAGAAGTCTCAATTAAAA